CAAAAGCGGAGAAAAGCAACAGTTCACCTCCCCTGGCAATGATATTATAGTATTATTTTAAGATTCAGTGAATTCTATACTTCTGTTCTGCAAGCTGTAAGATTGGCTTATTTGTAATAAGGAGAACAAGTGCACATTGTGGGAAGGGTAGACATTTAGAGAAAATAAATGACCTTGGGGTATTGAACTCTGGGAATCAACTTCTTCTCTAAAGTTAGGGGACATGCTACTTTTAGATGTTGAACCTGTGGGTGTTCATTTGAATAGTAGAGTCATAGAAAAAACTTTACTATCTGGAATATAATAAAAATGCTGCTTTAACTGCTAAGTCACCATCTGTTATTAGCTCTTTGCTACTGATTTATCTTTTTTCCTTTTAAAACATGAATTCCTAGATTTTCATATTATAATTTTATACTTACCTTAAATTAGGATTGAGAGAAAACTTGGACAACACTTCTTAAAAGAAAATTATTAACTTGTAAATAAAATCACACTTTTAGGTTTTGGTAAGAGCTGGGGAAAAAGCAAAAGCAAAACAGGAAGCCTGTAGGTGACCCATGTGCATTTCTATGTCATGAGTAACAGGAATGGAAGAACTTTTGTTCCACTGCAGTTATGCAATCTAATTATTCACTGATTCAGCTACACATGCAGCATTACTACGTAGGTTTGAACATGGCATCTTTGCCATATGTCTCTTTTTTAACCTTGATATCTTACATGTCATAGGTTTCCATCAATTTTGATGGTTGTCCTCATGAAGATAATGATTATGATAATGCCTCCCATTATTTTCTTTTTAGTATAAGGCAATTTAATGGATTCCCTAAAAAATAAGGCAAGCAGTTTTTAACCCTAACAATGAGGGATAGAGTAGATGCCCTTAACTACACTTTCTTACTATTTCTTATACTTTCTTGTATTTGTATTCATATAAATAGATGTATGTTAAGGAAATTCATTCACCCATTCATTTATGTACCTAACCATTATTCCTTCATCAGTTCTTATTAAGCACTTACTATGTTAGGCCCTGTATATACATTTTACGTGCATTATTTTCTAACCTTATAACAATGGTGTGTAGAGAAACTAATATTATCCTTTTTGTCAGATGATAAATTCATGATTAGAGATATTAATTATTATGTCGAAGTTTGCACAGCTGGCAAATGACACATTTGGAATCTGAACCCACACAATCTAATTCAAGAATTCCATTGCCAGTACTTCAAAAAATGGCGTTTATTTTATAGGCAAAGAAAAGGCACTGAATTAAATATTATGACTATGCTTGTGACCTTAGGAGATTTAGGTTCTGAGTTAGACCTGATTTAAAATTATCGATCCACCAATTACTGATTACATGAACTTGGTGGGAGTTGTTCAGCCTCTTCATACTCCAGGTTCTTCCTTTTTCAACAGTGCTGCTGGGCCATTAAATGAAACAGCTTTATCTAGAAAGCTCAACATATTATACCCATTATAGATGTTAGCTGTTACACACTTACTTCTCCCCATTTCAGGAGGGAGGGAGAAGATGAGTTTTTATTTTACAATCTTATTTTATAAAATCCTAAACCTGGAGTCTAGGGGGTAATGTAGGAATTGAAATGTGAAATGGTTCTGATCTAAGGTGGAAACATTAGATGGATGAAAGAATATCATGCAGATATAATTTAAAATTGTTAGGTTGGAATATTTTATGTGGGGCTAAGAGTAAAAGAAATCTATCATTTGTGAGTGGTAGAATGTGAAGTGATTAAATAGGTTAGGGACTAGTAAAGGAAGTTCTAGGACAATTGCTGGCACATAGTAGGCATGCAACAAAAGTCTGGAAGCTTGATTGCTATGATCTGTATGCAGACATTATATGGTTGACATAAATGTGTTAATATTGTTCTTTTGTAAGTGTTTTCCTGGTATTTAAGTACAATGGAGTACAAAGGTTTGTTGCATAAAGTGTAATAAGGAAAGGAATATGACCATTACTCCATCTGTCACTTTCACTCCTGCCTTTAAATGAGATGTTTGCCCCAATAAGATGATTAAGTTAATGGTTCCTTAAAGCCCCACACACTTACCTGTCTTTTTGCCTTTGCTGAATTTATTGCTTAAGACTTTAACCATTATCTCTTTTTGCCCATTTTTTTCTTTTTATTTATTTATATTTTTTGAGATGGAGTCTCACTCTGTTGCCTAGGCTGAAGTGCAGTGGTGCGATCTTGGCTCACTATAACCTCTGCCTCCTGGGTTCAAGCCATTCTCTTTCCTCAGCCCCCCAAGTAGCTGGGATTACAGGTGTCCACCACCACACCTGGCTAATTTTTGTACTTTTAGTCTAGATGGGGTTTCACCATGTTGGCCAGGCTGGTCTCGAACACCTGATCTCAGGTGATCCACTCACCTTAGTCTCCCAAAGTGCTGGGATTACAGGTATAAGCCACCATGCCTAGACTCTTTTTGCCCATTTTTCAAAGTAGACACTTGGTAGAACTTTTACAGCCTGCCTGTAACATACGTCTGTAGTCCTAGCTTGGTTCTAAATTCCATGGTGCCTCCTCCTTGGAAAAACAGAGAAGGTGCTATGGGATTTAGGACCAAGTTATGGCTACAAAAAGGTTATAGGTTACCTAAGTTACAGGCTGATAGCCATAGGTTTATTGTTCTCTGCACATGTGGTTGTTTCTTGCCTCTCAATGATATTATATGCTTCTTTTATACCTCATGCAGTGTAAGTGCTCTGCAATAATAGAAATTCAATAAATGACTCTTAAAAGTTACAATTAAAATCAGGATTGAATTTTGTGGAAAATCTTGATGCAAATGTACAAAATAACTTCAAGAAAATTAGAAAGCCATGAGTCATGCATTTCCTGGTACTATTCATTCCTCTTTAGGTACTATCATTCTGCTCAACCTAACATTTCTACCACCTACACCTACCATCTGGAATTTTAGGCAGAGGGTATGAAGGGTGTCAGATCTTGAAAGAAAATTGCCTTTTTTCCAAAGTTGATGAAACTACCCCACAGTTGATTGGCTTACTTGCTCAGCAAGAGAGTAGAACCTTGTCTTTATGAATTAAATGTCACTATTTTGTCTATTTGAAGATGACCTTATAGAGGATCATGGTTTATGACAAGTTATTTTGCTGAGACCTGAATTTGAATTGTGTATTGGTGAATGAGCCCTGTGCACACAGTCAGAGCAGCTGGTGTCCATGCAGCTTTTCTTCTCTTTGGTTTTCTGTGTCATACACAGTAATCCCTGTGAGTTATTCACATCTACTTCTTGTCAAGTAATAGTATACTATAGTGGTATCATAAATTTGGGATTTATGAAAGTTGTGGGACATACTTCCATGTGAATGTCAGTGGATTATTATATTTAACAATTTGTTCTCTTTTGTTTTGATTAAGAAACTCTTTGCCGGGATGCTGAGTTCTGATTAAAATTTTATACACCCTTCTTATTTCTCTCTGCAAAATTATAGCCTTACTGATGAATTTTGCTTTACTCTTGAGTGTGGTTTACTTTTGCAGCAAATACAAATTTGCAAAGTTAAATCTAAAAGCCACAGCTAAACATAGTTCTCCCGTAGAGTTAAGAACTATAACTGTTTCTGTGGACCCGAGCAAAAGTACCTTCTTTTACAAAACAATGTTCTTCTTGTTCCATGGTCAATTACACACTGAACCTCTATGTTATCCCAGATCTAAGCAGCAGGGCTGCTGTCTCCAGAATTATATTCAGCAGCTGTCTCCTCCCTGTTAGCTTACCCATTCCTGATGTGTGGATTCGTTTCAGAAGGCTCCAATCCAAATAAGACTCAATTAGCAGCAGCCTGAAAATAGTGTGTCTGCCTTTCTTTTTCTGTATAAACCTTCATAACTTTCTGTAGAATGTTGACTTTTTTTTTTTTTTGAGTGAGATAAGCTCTTGTCATTCCAGCTAACTCTCATGTCTTGGTGACAGCAAAATGGAGAAATATTAGGAAATCTGACAAGGAGAAACATTCATGTCCAATAGAGTCCAGCAACAGATTAGTGAAAGAAACTGGCCATCCAAAATTATCATCATTCATTTCCTGCTCTAAGTCAAAGAAATCATTGTGCTCTGCTTAAGCCCCCTGTTGAGTTCATTTCACTGACCCTTCCTTAATATTGGCTGAAGGGTATTTTTAATAACTTGGTATGTTTGGGAGTCAAAGGAGGCCAAGTTTCTGGCTATGCTCAGAAGGGATGAAATAGTAATGAAATGTTTGGGGAATGAGAGGGGAAAAAGCAAATGCCTGAAAGAAACCTACCTTCTTTTAGACCTGTTTGATATAACTCACCTAATTGTTTCTGAAGAAGGGGAAAAAATACACAAAATCCTCTGAGAAATATCAATTTAAAAAAATTACAGCCTTGAGTGAGCCACTTCAAAGTGTGCAGAGAATTAGTTTATATTTTATTTGGAAACTGATGTTTAAGTCAAATGGAGCAACAGAAATGCACAGTAATCTATCCAAAAAAGACCAAAGGATTGGGAATAGGTCAGGGCGCAGTCATAGAGCAAGGTGAGGGGTGGCAGACAGTGGAAGGCAACCTGGCCAGACAGTCTGGGCATGTGAGCTGAATCACTAGTGTGGGGACCACTTTCCCCTAAGAAGCTCTGTTCTGACTGATCCTGTCTCCTGAGTCTCCCCCATTGCCACTGGACATTGCAGGTTTGGCTTCCTGGCTGCTGGTTTTGCAGTCATAGGAGTTCTGTTCAGTTTACTGTGATGAGTATGAGCAAAGCACTGTGAGCCGTCGGGTATCAGGATGAGTGTGTCACTGGTTTCTCTTCTCATGTGTCATCCGTGTGAATTCTTCCCATCCATCAGCCTCTTCTAGACGTGACCTTAACTTAACTCTGATCTCTCTCAAGCTATTTCTCTCAGAGTGCTGATCAAACAGTTTGGAACCACAGTATTAGCTATGTCCTTGTTCCATCTAATCTGTAAATTTGCTGAGGATGTAAGTTATACTTCTTTTTAAATGTACTCTGCCATTAGCATATTAAGAAACACTACTAGACATTTAATTGACACCTGTTGAGTAACTGGTAAGTTAATTAATATAGGACATTATGGTAAACATGTCTTCCAGAGACGTTTAAAAACTTTCATTCAAATTGTATGTAACATCTACTTAACAAACATTTTTAGTATGTAGAAACAGAATTATATCCAGTAAAATATTAGTCATTTTAATAATTTGAGATAAAGAGTTATTGGGGGCCAGGTGCAGTGGCTCACGCCTGTAATCCCAGCACTTTGGGAGACCAAGGTGGGCACATCATGAGGTCAAGAGATCGAGACCATCCTGGCCAACATGGTGAAACCCCATCTCTACTAAAAATACGAAAATTAGCTGGGAGTGGTGGTGTGTGCCTGTAGTCTCAGCTACTCGGGAGGCTGAGGCAGGAGAATTGCTTGAACCCGGGAGGTGGAGGTTGCAGTGAGCCGAGATCACACCACTGCACTCCAGCCTGGCACCTGGAGACAGAGCAAGACTCTGTCTCAAAAAAAAAAAAAAAGAGTTATTTGGCTGACTAGATTTTATTCAGTTGGTACCTGTTTATTAAGTGCCTTTGGTGTGTCATAAACACTGATGATGTAGTTGAGACCTAATAATGGCCTAGGAAAGTATGAACAATATGAATATCTTCAATGTTAGTTCTTTCAGGTCAATCTTTTTAAATGATTAATTTGTAGCAAAACCTGGAGATCACTTTGTTTTGTTTATGGGCAAGTATTTATAACTTCTACCAAAACCAGGAATAGTTTACTAAATATGGGGGTTTGAAGACATTGTCTTTACCTGGGAAAAGCTTCCAGGCTGCAAGAGAGGGTAAAGACAGTGAGTAACATTTGAGATGTACTTTATTTAATTATTTAACAAATACCTATCCAGCACGCACAATGGGCAGGCTCCCTTCCAAGCAGGAAGTGATTATGGATCATCTGTTATAAATATAACCTCATTTAATTTTTATAATAAGTCTATAAAGAAGGTTATTATTACCCTCCTTTTAAAAACAGGGAACTTGAAACCCTATTTTACAGTTAAAGTTCAGAGACATTAGGTATTTCCCCCAAGGTCTCACAGCCTGTGTGGTGGAGCTTCTTGCAAAAGTATGTTGGCCCTTTATAGGATAGAGAGATTAATTCTAATCAGGGAAAGAAGGGAAAAAGCAAGCCCCAGAGAATGGATGCTATTTCAACTGTGTCTTGAAAACTGGTTCAGACTGTTTTGTTTGCAAATGTTGGACAGTCAAGAATGTACCCAGAGAAAGCTATTCCGTAAGGGACATAAATGTAAGATATTAACAAAATGCAATTTTCTGTCCAACATTAAAATTTTAGGAAGATATATCCTCCTCTCGTCTCTTCTCTCAAGGACTTCCCAAGTTTTAGTGCAATGTTCACTTTAATTTTTAAGAGTATGAATAATACAATATATTTTGCATGGCACTGCCACTTTATTTAAATCTCAAAATTTTCTGAGAGTTTAATATTCACCGATAGTCTTCGCAGCAATCAATGGCTATGAGATGAGTCACCAACTAGGAGATCAAACAGGCCTATTCAGTTTAAGGTGACCCTCCTGTGTGAGCTGTCAGTGACATCTGCCAAAACCATGACTTATTTGGTAGAAATGCCTGGTCTCTGCTTGTTGGAAAACTGATAGCCTCTTTCACTCTTTCAACTCAGTGATTAACAATTACTGCCTAGAAGGCTTTGCTGTATATATTTAACAATTCTCATCTTACAGGGCATGAAAGTGCTTATTTGCTTTTAAATATAAATAGTGAAAGTATAAATACATTCTTTCTTTCTGGATAAGATAATAATATTAAATTTAATTTTTTGTCTCTAGTGTTATTGCATTTTTCTAACAGAAACACTAAATAAGACACATTTTTAATATTTAATTCTATTTAAGATACCACAAATTATTGTTCAATTTTAAAAGAAAAACTATATCCAAAATATTTTATTTGTTTGTTTGTTTATTTTTGAGACACAGTCTGGCTCTGTCACCCAGGCTGGAGTGCAATGGTGCAATCTTGGCCCACTACAATCTCAGTCTTCCAGGTTCAAGCAATTCTCCTGCCTCAGCCTCCTAAGTAGCTGGGATTGCAGGCACCCTCCACCATGCCTGGCTAATTTTTGTATTTTTAGTAGAAATGGGGTTTCATCATGTTGGCCAGTCTCTTCTCAAATTCCTGACCTCAGGTGATTTACTCGCCTCTGCCTCCCAAAGTGCTGGGATTATAGGCATGAGCCACTGTGCCCGGCCAAAATATTTTAAAACATGGCAAATGATCATGGGGTTTCAGTGGTCCAAATCAGAATTTTCTTTGGAAGAAAAACATTAAGAGGAATATACTAATAAAAAAAAATCAGTGTAAGCACTTGAAAATAAGTTAGAAAAAATACATATAGAGCAAAAGGAAACCTCTATATAGTAAATATTATATAGTGATATAATATCAAATAATCAATTTGAAAACATTAAATAGAATACAAATATCTCTAAGGATAAAACATGTGAACAATTGGTGTAATAATTAAGTTGAATACCAAAGGATAATGTAAAATCTATTTCACTCATATATCAGGGATTGGACTTTCTGATAAGACCCAGAGACACACTTTAAGTATCTTACAGATGAAGAACCAGAAGTTTGTCACTTCCTTACATCACATTACTTGTAAGGGGTAGAGGGAGCAGAGCTACTACATAAACCCAGGGCTAAAATCTGCAAGGCCATTCTTTCTATGTGCTGGTACAGAATGAAGACTTTGTCATGGTGCATTCAGCAGCTTTGATCAACCGGTCACTTGTGAGTTAGGCATAATCTATTTGACAGAGACTCATTGAAGGTCTGGGGATGTAGTGAGTCAGAGGATTGAGCTTGCAACTTATGGGAGCACTCACCCCTGGAAAGGTAGCCCTTCAATTTGAGAGCAATAGCTATGGGACTACTACCCTAATTCTGCCAAGAGTAGAGTTTCAGAGCACAATGGCACTCTTCTCCCATACTCAAGATTTATATTTTAGAATAGAATAGTAACCTTACAGGATAGGCCTCCTATTCTGCTTCATGCATTTTCAGAAATGCCCTTGAATTATTTATATACTTTTTTGGCTCGACTTACTTACTTTCCTTTATGTTGGCTTCCTGCACAGAAAGTTGTTGGGGTTGACCAGTAGATGCAATTGATAAAGGGCTGATTTACAAGAGACCACGTTACTGGAAAGAGTGCCTCTCTCCAAATAAGTAAACAAATTTTTTCCAGAAAAATCCTAAAAACAAAAAACAAACAACAACAACAGCAAAAAAACCTTTCTAAGACCTGTTTAGCTTGCAGAAGACTTTCAATTAGCTTCAGGGCAGCATGAACAGAATGTTCTGTACCTTGAGTGGTCCATGCACTCAGGAGAATGTGCTGATTTCAGCATCTTCCTTATAGCCATATGAACACCAAAATAGGATTCCTTTTTTCTCTGCTTCGGCTTTCTGGAGCAACTGTTTTGACTGTGCAAAATTATAACATTTTCATTGTTTTATGTTTCTCTGAATAAAAATATCATTTTCTTCCTAAAGAATTTGACTTGCTAAGCACATAAATTATGAATTAATATCACATTCCTGATATACAGGGCTTTTGTAATCAAAATAACTATCAGACACCACAGAGGAATAAGAGGTTGAATATGTTCACTTTCTGTCTGGCTGTTGGAAGCCTCAGGTCATCACTTCTTGGAGGCAGTCCTGACTGGAGGCAACAGACACTAAACCAAATATTCTGTGTACCTTATGACAGTTAATTCTTGGAATAGCTCTGGAAAGTAGACATCATATGATCAATATTTTATTGAAGACAATGCTACAACAAGGATGATTTAGTGACTTATTTAAGACCTCACAGTAACAGAACCTGGATTGAAATTAAGTTTGGCCTGAGTCAAAGTCTACTTTCTTTTCACTGCATTATACTGGTTAGGCTTAGAGAATATATTGCAGGCAGAATATGGCATTTATACCCAAATTTCATAGTTGACTTACATTTGGGATTTCTTTTTGAAATTTCAGTTTTATAGGAGAGAATGGCAAGTTGTATATCCTCAGAATTCAAGAGCGAGATTTGGGCTTGAAAATTACCTGTTTGAAATTCATATGCATGTTTTCCTCTTCAACTTTCCATATAAAGTCCGACTTTTACCCAATATGGTCTTGGCTGTACCCCTGTGTAGTTCTGGGACTTTCCATAGTTGATATGTGTATGTTAGAGGTGAGGCAGAGAAAATAAACATGTCAATAAAAATGCCTTTTCCTATGAGAGGTGCTAATAGGCTTTCTCTCACTCAAGAGTACATTTTCAATGTCTGGATTAATTCAGCTGTCCAGGAAAGAGGTTGTGCTTTGCTGTCCATATACAACATCTAGTAAAGAAGGCTTAGCCTCATCATTCTTCTCTAAGGAGGCAGTATTCATGACCAACTGATCCCACTGAAGACAATATTAGCAGAAATTATGAAAGAAGCTTACATAGTATTTTGCAAAGTTCATGAACTTACATTGCCAAATGTTACGTGATTTTACTGAATCCCTCAAAACTCCTCTAAGGAAGTTGAGAATATCTCCATCTTTTCCAGTGAAGAAATTTTGACTTAGAAAGGTCAAAGGGATTTGTTTGAGATCATAGAGTCTTCTGGCTCCCAGTCAGGGGTTGTTTTGCCTACAGTACCATCCTCCACCAGCTACATTACACACTTCAGAAGTGTGAAAATGGGAAGCAGACTATTTCTCCTGTACTCTGAGTATTAGTTGCTCCCTTCTTGAGTTAGAGAAATGTCAACAAACTTGCAGTTTGCATAAGAATTTGATACTTAATCATAATTTATCATTACACAGTGTTGATATATTTATACATCTTATTAACATAATGCATAATGAATACACAGACACATTTATGCACATGCATACACACAATCCCCTTATACTTTATGTTTTCCAGGTAAAATGAGAGTTAACATTTGTTGAGTGTTTAGCATGTTCCAGATACTGTGCTCAACTTTTCAATAGAGGAAAGTATATTATTACCTTAATTTTGTAGAAAAAGAAGCTGAGAAGACCGTGGAGGTTCAGTAACTTGCCCAAGGTAGTGCAATCAATGGTGGCACCAGGATTTGACCCCAAGATGATCTTCTCCAGAGCATTTGCTACTAAGCACTTTTTAAATTGACTCTCTTTCCCTTATTTCTGATGATGGTGGTGAAAAGCTGGGAAGGCAGTGTGCAACTTACAACATTCTTCTAGTAGAATGGTGCTTAAATATTTCACATGTATCTTGCATTTTCCTGAAGTTCATGTTTATTTTTGAGCTCCTGGTCTCTAAGTTTACTTTACCTTTTATTTAAATACATAAAATAGAGGCTGTCCTGAGTAGAGGCAATAGATATTAAACGAAATATTCTATGTACTCTATGACAGTTAATTTTTGGAATAGCTCTGATGAACATAAAACACCACAGACTGAAATATGTTCTGTATTATTTACATTTTCCCATCTTTTATAAAGTTTTATGTCATACTTTTGAGGTACTCTAAATAATTTTAAGAACGTGATTTTTTGTGTATTATAAGAAGAGTAACATAGTCCCAAAGAAAGAAGAGGTTCCGTGAGAAAGTCTATTTCATCTCACTTTGTTCCACTAGGTTTTCAGTTGTCAAAATTCAAGCATTCAGTAAACACAAATGTAGATTATGTCAATTGAGCTCCACCTTTTAGTTTATTTCCCTCTTAAATCAAAGGAAAGTAATTTGAAATCCAAATAAGAAAATGAAAACAACAACTGGGAATTCAAGTACCTAGGGTATATTAAATATTTATGTGCTAACTTTTCCCATGGAGCTTTGCTACATCTCAGACCTTTTCAAAATGAATTCCTTTCCCTTGTACTACTGTACTATTTTTAAGCTTTGTTACATTTTTTTTTAATATAGATTGCTTGTAATTTCTGTGAGTAATTGTGGTGGCAGGGAAGCTGGGTAAGTACAAGGTGCTTAAAAGGTTGACTTTTTGCTTAGATAGAAACAGGTCTTTGCCTGTTTCACTATTTACTCTCTGGTAATCCTGTACAAGCCACTTAACTTCTTCATATTTCAGTTTCCCTGTATGTTAATAGGCCTATAGATACTAACTACTTCATAGGGATTTTGCAGTGATTAAATTACATATTTCATACAAAGCACATGGACCTATTGCTCAGTAAGCACTAGCTGATGTTATTGTTAATATCTTTTCATTCTTATTCTCATCTCTTGATTTCAGGGACTTATTGCCTTTTCCCTGAGCAAGGTAATAGCAAGGCTATTATATTAGCCCTCTCACTGGTCCCTAACAATCAGTAGTCAGTGTGTGGTCAGGAAACTAGATAATGTGAGATATTTTATCAGAAATGATTTAATATAGAAATTGTTCAAACAGGTTGAGGAGAGGTGCTGGAAAAATAAAACTAGAGTAACACAGATCCAATAACTGCAAGAAGCAATTGCACATTTAGGGTAAATTTAAGGGAAAAAGTAGGAGTTTTAGGACTTGCAAGCTCAGACGAGATCTCACTGAGCTGAAATCCAGTCTTCTGAGGAGGGGATATTATCAGACTTTTGCAAGGAGCTGAGACCTTTGAGGATGGGGATCACCAACTGGTGCTGGTGCTGGTGCTGAGGGTATGATGAGGCTGGTCCTGGGAGGGGAGAGAAGGCTGAAAAGTGGAACCTACTGCTGCTGCCCAGGTGAAGTTGTAGTCCTGGGGTCATGCAATCAAAAAGGACAGCCAAGCAGGAAGGAGTTAAGTTCCTTCTCCCTCCTCTTGCCTCCTTGCCTCCCCCCTGGGCTCCTCTGGCAGATAGGAACAGTCTTCCTGTTGGTCAAAATCAACAAATGTAGTTTACTGAACCATGTGGTTTGCATCAGAAAACAAAGGACAGAAGGATGGGTTTAGAGCTAAGAGGCAGTAGCTTAGTAACCAACACAAACGTCTTTCAAATCCCAATCTCTTTTATAAACCCCTATTGGATTAAATAATCAACAGAGTGAACAGACAGCCTACGGAATAGGAGAAAATACTTGCAACTGTGCATCCCACAGAAAACTAATATCTAGAATTTACAAGGAATTCCTACAACTCAATGACAGCAAGAACAACAAAAATAATCCCATTAAAAAGTGGGCAAAGGACATGAATATGAACTTTTTTCAAAGAAGATATACAAATGGCCAGCAAGCATATGAAAAATACTTAACATCACTAATCATCAGAGAAGTGCAAGTTAAAACCACAATGAGATAGCATCTTATACCAGTCAGGGTAGCTATTACTAAAAATACAAGAAATAACAGATGTTGATGAGGATGCAGAGAAAATGGAACACTTATACACAATTGGTAAGAATATAAATTAGTACAACCACCATGGAAAACAGTATGGAGACTTCTCAAATAACTACAAATAGAACTACTATTCAATCCAGGAATACTACTACTGGGTATCTGCCCAAAGGAAAAAAAAATGTTATATCAAAAAGATACCTGCATTTGTATGTTTATTACAGCATTGTTCATAATAGCAAAGATATGGAATCAACCTAACTGTCCATCAACAGATGATTGGATAAAGAAAATATGGTATACATATGTACAATGGAATACTGTTCGGTCATAGAAAAGAATGAAATCATGTCTTTTGCAACTACGTGGATGGAACTGGAGACCATTGTCTTAAGTGAAACAACTCAGAAACATAAAAGTACTATGTGTTCTCACTTACTAGTGGGGAGTAAATAATGTATGTGCATGGGCATTGAGTATAGAATGATAGACCTTGGAGACTGAAAGGTGAGGGAGTCGAATGGGATGTGGATGTTGAGAAATTACCTAATGGGAATAATTTGCATTATTCAGGTGATGGATACTCTAAAAGGCCAGACTTCGCCAGTACACAATATATCTATATACAAAATTGTACTTGTACTCCTTAAATTTATACCTTAAAAAATATTTCCTGCAGTATCATTTGGAACACAGCTCTCACCTGCTCAAATATCTTCATGTCCTATTGAGCAAAGTAACTTCAATACACACTTTAAAAAAAAAAAGAACTTATTATGAACATTGTGCTCTGGGCTGTGGAGGATATAAACATGAATAAGTTTTTCTGTCCTCACAGTTTAATGAGGAACAAGGTTAACAGAAGTCATTCCATAGCAAAGGCTGAAAGTACTTGGAAGGAGGGATGTGTCCTGACTGTTGAGATTCAGGAAGATTTCATGGAATGATAAGTAAAAATTCACATTCAATGGTGTGGCCTCTTACACCTGGCTGACTTCTTACTATTCTACCTATATTTAATTTTTTTGCTACTATGTAACCATTTCCCATTTATCCTTCAGTGTTTCTTATCTGTATAGTTTTTTTTTTATGCCACTCACTAAGACACATGGCCAAGAAACACCTTCTATGGGTGTTTTCAACTAGTTATAAGAATACAACATTGAACAAACGAGACAAGGTGTCCTCCTTATGAAACTTGCCATCTAAGTGGGGAGGCAGTTCTTAATATTAAAAGATCACCAAATGACCTTTTAATATTGCAAAATTGCACATCATGGTTGGTGCTGGGAAAGAGGTGCACACTGTTATGTTAGCAAGGTGATCAGATTTAGTTTTGGAGTCACAAATGGCTTCCCTCAGGTATAGGTGTTAGGTTAGGTTGGGTCAAGAAGGCTGTTTTTAGACTGCAGAAAATCTTGGACCAGAAGGAGCAGAATGTATATCTGAGAAAAGGTCATTATAGGTGCAGAAAAAGGGAATGAGGAATGTGTACAGCACTTTTTCATATGGTAAGCTTTTCTCAGGGTCAAGTCAAAAGGCACCTCCTCCATGAGGCCTTTCTTAAAATATTTGAACATTAAAAAGATCCTCCCTCTTTTCAATTCTTAGCCATTCTATATCTCTCATGAGAGTGTTTGTTACCTACTGCCTTGGTTTGTGATTATTTATGTGCAAGTTTGATTGTCTGTGCTCAACTGTAAGGTTCCAGAAACCAGAATTTGTCTCATTTCCATCCTTGTATCCTTCAGTGCCATGAGTTCTCAAAAAATATTTGCTAAATAAGGTCACCTCCTCAATATGCCTGTTAGCATTTAGATGGTGTGTTCAGTTACATGGAGCCATTCAGTGTAACTGTTTCTTTCATTCATTGTCTCATATTACTAACTGACTTGTCCCCAGGGAACATTGGCAGTCACTTGACAGTTGTGCATAACAGGTGAAGTATTCACTGGCCCACTTTGTGAAAGACATATAAGTTTGGCATTTGAGGACTGGTACCTTAGATCTCCATGAATCACAATGAATGGCTGCTTGACCAAAAGTGTTCATAAATCTGTAGCATTACAAAATTTGGGTTCAACCAACGAAATTTGCTTTATCTTTTTATTTCACCATCTGTGTTGCCTTGTTCTGATTTCCATGTCATTAGACAAGGAGAAAATGATCATCTGCCCACAGCAAAACACTTGGAATCCAACAGAGATTCTTCTGAAAAGTAAACACACCATGGAAAGAAGGACTTAGGGGGAGCATCACACCTGTAGGCCTTCTTCCTGGTATTTTTTTTTTCAGACAGAATTTAGCTCTTGTTGCCCAGCCTGGAGTGCAATGGCACAATCTCAGCTCACTGCAACCTTCGATCCCCAAGTTGAAGTGGTTCTCCTGCCTCAGCCTCCCTAGTAGGTGGGATTACAGGAATACGCCACCATGCCTGGCTAATTTTGTATTTCTAGTGGAGATGGGGTTTCTTCATGTTGGTCAGGCTGATCTCAAACTCCCAATCTCAAGTGATCCACCTGCCTCAGCCTCCCAAAGTGCTGGGATTACAAGCATGAGCCACTGCACCTGGCCTTTCCTGATATCTTCTAGGTCTCTTTGCAACAACCTGAGTGGACCCATTCTCCTGTGCTCAGGACCTAGTTCTAGGTATTCCCTTATCTTTCTTGAATATGGTCGTTCATTGGTATCTATAATGGAATATAAAAATAGCTGGAAAATGAAAACGACAAAACTCTGACTCCACATCATTTTACAAAAGTGTCGGAGTTAATAGTTGTGGCAGAACTGTAACTTCTAAGGAAAACTGAGCTATGACAAGCAGCCCCAGAATGAAAGGCAGACAACCCATTGTCAGGGTGACCCAGAAGTCCTAATTTGTGGGAATGATCATTATATGAAGACTGTAAATCTGATTAATGTGCACTCTGAGATGAGGTATAACATTTTGTGCCAAATGAGGTAGGGGTGAGTGAGAAAGGATGATAGAAACAGCTGGTTCTGAACATGTCTGAAGGACCATATTAGAATTACAATGATGTAGAGAAATATGTAAACAAACATAGGCAGCATTCAGATGGATATGTGTGTGTGTGTTTTAGTGTTTATATAAACATACACCTTAACTTATTTATAGACTAATAGCTGATGAATTAACCTTCACCAATAGACCATTTACAGTCCCCAAATAGTGGGGTACACAATTTTATTCTCACTGTAAAACTTACTCTTTGGTAGGACATATTGCCAAGTTTTTCACTATGGAACTAATCTGGAGGCCATATGGTGAAGTTTAATTTATGGGTAATATTATCTAACAGCATTCCTGTAGCAGTTGGTAATTGTAATGTTTCATTATCTCAGTTTAGTTTTGTCATAATCTTGTGACATGGGCTGATATCATTATTCCACATTGATAAAGATATTTAGAGACAAACACAATTCCCATTAAGTTGCTGTGTGTGTGTGTGTGTGTGTGTGTGTATAGGGTATGTGTATGTAGAATTGTTTTTGAGTCATATAGAACATTCTTCCTCATAACTGATATTCTGGATTAAATTTTAATTTGTGGAGTCTTGGGCAAAGTCTAAACCTAAATAATGCTTGGGAAGCGGGGCCAAACCTGAAAACCTGTGTCAGATTGAACCTATAATAGAGAGGTGAGGTTACTGGATTCTGGCTTCAGAACATCTTTTCCTCTTTCTGGATAAGTAATGAAAAAGAAACAGTTCTACCCTTCCTTTCCCACTCTTTCTTCCTATTCAGAGTCTATTCCATCTTATTTTACTTGTTTTTATGGATGAATTGTAAGGGTAAAGCCCAGCCTGCCCTATGTCAGAAGGATTAGACCTCATTATCTGTCCTGATTTCTCAAAGGCATGAACCAGGAACAATCAGAGTAACTTTTTTGGACCTTTCAGCATGAGAAAGGAGTGTTCTTTTTCCTATAAAGACTGAGATGGAAAGGAAATAGAACAAATGCTTCTTGATTCTGACTTTTGTAGTATGTAGCCTTATTACATATACAGTTGTCCCTTGGTATCCACAGGGGATTGATTCCAGGACCCAGTGCAGATACCAAAATTTGCAGCTGCTCAAATGTCTTAAATAAAATGGCATAATATTTGCATATAATCTGGGCACATCCTCCTATATACCTTAAGTCATATCTAGATTACTTATAATACCAAACACAAGGCCTACACACCACTTCATTCTCATGGATTCAAGGTAGTATTTGGCACATGCTAAATTCAAGTTTTGGTTTTTGGAATTTCATGAGAAAATTTTTCTGAATAGTTTTGATTTGCATTTGGATGTATCCATGGGTGTGGAACTCATGGATAAGAGCAGCCCCCTCTATTCAGTCTGTGCAGCAACTGGTAAAGGACACAAACAAGTGTAATGAGGTCTATTCTTTATTGACATATGGCAGGTTGTTCCTCACCTTCTTTTTACAAATAAGAAAACTCTGATTCAGAAACCTTAATACACAGATATATTTGTGTATATGTATGTACATGTTTCTGTACTTAAGTATGTTATGCAAGGTCACAGAGCAATGTCATGGTAGAGCCAGGGCTTAGCAGGTGGCATAGGTTTTACACTTCCCTCAATATTTATTAAACCACTAACATCCCTCAGGGATGCTGAGAATCTCAGTGTCCCTCTGTAATATGATCACATGCGCTCTGTTTTTCTGCTACCTGACCCCTGAAATGTTGGAGTCAGCAGGAAAAAAAATAAAAGAGAGAGAAAGGTGAAATTAATTAAATGGGATAATGCATGTGAACACAGTTTGTAAATTCTAAGGTCTTACAAAAGATTTTTACATTAGTAATAGTTGCAATATGCTCATTTACATGAATCACTTATCATTCACAGCTAATTACCAAGCAATACAGTAACAATTATGTGGATGATGAAATACACATCAGATCAACTCTTCTACAAGCTGTTTCAATTACAATATTCAACTCTCCTCCCTTGGTTTCCATCTTCTAAATATATTGCTTAGGGAACTTGGATAACTACCGACAACTAAAAAGAATTATGAACATTCATCATAAAAAAGTAAGCATTCATCCAAGAAAAACAAATGATAGAAGTGAAAGGTGAGATTCTATTTCTGAGCTACTCATTGGCTTTTCTTAGGAGACTGAATTTGTGGACCCTGTGAAATTTCCATGTGCATTACTACACCATCTTGGAAATGGCCATTTACATTTTCAACATGAGACAGCTAGCAGGACCTCATCAAGTTCTGCCATTCAAACTGTATGTCTCCATTGGCCTCACATCTATGTCCTTTAGTTGGTTTCTACTCATGCCATTTTTCCAAAACAACTATAATTACTAGAAAAATTTAACAAGCAAATATTAACTTGGCTAAGATATGATTTTCAAACTATATCACAGCAGATAACAAAGTTTGCAATGACATTCTATGTCCTACTATTCAAAGCAATTAAGAGAAATGAGTATTCAGCCCCTAACATTCTGACAGGCTCTTTCAATAGTACGTCCAAATAAAGGAACTTTTTGTAATCAAAAAAACTGATTTATTTCTTGAGATTTCATAATATGAGATAATATGGTCATCACTGATTTACTAGCAAGTCACAATTGTAATGTATTGAAAAATTTAATGGCCTTGACTTTAGAACTGTAATGAGTTTTGTAATTGCTCATGTGAGAGGTGATTGGTTATGCTAAATATATGGGGGCAAATAAGCAAATGTAACAGGTGACATTTGTTGTTCTAATAAAATACATCCAGCTTTGGACAAGTTCAGTGTAAAAGTTATAAAAAAGAAACTTTAAGAGAGGGAATATGTGAACACAGTATTTTTATGGAAAGGCGGGACATCTTGAATACTAATCTGGAACTTTATTGGTAAGGAGGACCATTTATTGAGTTCTTACTATATTTTTAATTTGACCTAGGCATTGACTATCCCATTTAATCTTTATAAGCAATCCTGTGGGAAAATACAGTGTGGATTATCTAAGTTACTTTCCTGAGACCATGTAGCCAATAAATGGCAAAGATAATTCAGTCGTGGGTCAATTTCAATGATATTTCTACTGTCCTAGAGGTTTTGTATGAATATGTGATATTAGAAATAATTAAATATCAAAATAGTTATGCACAGGGATTTGAGACAAAGCTGCACAATTAGATAAAAGTGACCATTTCATTCAAGAGGAAGAAGTGATAAAATTATATGCAGAGATGAGTAGGTCCTGTTTGGATAACTCATTTGTCTGCATCTAATCTGTATCTTCAGAGTTTTGTAGACTGTTTGTATCACACTTAAATATCTCTTCCAAAATCTCCTATAATTGGATTTAACCTTCATGGCAGGGATAGATGAGATTAATGACAAGAGGATCAATAAAAATACTACCCAGTAACATTCCCAGAGCCATTACAATCTGACTAACAGAAGGATGGAGTAGAAATAACCATTCTGTTTTCAATGAACTTTTGAGTTTATCTCATTTTGAAGGCACACAAGAAAATCTAAGATAAATTATCTTTAAGAATTTTACTGGCCGGGCGCGGTGGCTCACGCCTATAATCCTAGCACTTTGGGAGGCCGAGGCGGGTGGATCACGAGGTCAAGAGATCGAGACCATCCTGGCCAACAGATCGAGACCATCCTGGTCAACAAGGTGAAACCTCGTCTCTACTAAAAATACAAAAATTAGCTGGGCATGATGGTGCGTGCCTGTAGTCCCAGCTACTTGGGAGGCTGAGGCAGGAGAATTGCTTGAACCCAGGAGGCGGAGGTTGCGGTGAGCCGAGATCATGCCATTGCACTCCAGTCTGGGCAACAACAGCAAAACTCCATAAAAAAAAAAAAAAAAAAAAAAAGAATTTTACTGAGATTTCCCCTTGGGTAAAGTTTGTATGGAGAATCTCAGAGCTAATTTAGAAGATACTACTTTGATGGTTGAACAAAAAAAGTAGAGAAATAATTATGATAAATCATCAGATGAAAACTGTGTTTATATTATTAAAGCTGATAAATATGTGGCATTACTACTTGATAGAATGAAGAGTTCTTAAGTCATGTAGGGAATGGTTTGTTCTTAAGACAAATTTGGACAGAAATGAATTGTGATAATGGTGTTATTACCGATGCCTTAAAATTCAGGACACTCTAGTTTCAAATATTATTACAGATCAAAGTTTCTTTCCAAAGACTATTATAGAAAATTTTAAGCAGCAGTCACCAACTCATGACATGGGTTGTTTTTGTTCTGACTGAGGCTTGAGACTGTGCACAGAAATGAGTGGATAGTTACTTCTTTTGAGCTGGGTGCGTAAAATTAACTCTTGGCTTTTTCTGATAGCCAAGAAATCTTCCCACACACAATCTGCAGCCCAGTTGCAAGGAGCTGATGATCTCATGGTCAGGTAAGTTGGTAGGTGTCTTTCCTAGAAGTTGTAATTTAATAGGTATGAAAGGTCCTTTAATTTATCCCCTTTACACCTATCCTGCAGGTATCACAGGCACTGAAATTCTGCTAGCCAACTAGATGTTAGATTCAGATTCAATTTACACTTTTTCCAAGCATCAACTATAATACCCAACTACTGCTGAATTTTTTATATACATGGTGCATATGTGTTTAATTTTTATGAGGGTTTTCCCCTCTTACAACCTACGTACTACAGATATTTTACAATCAAGAGTCACATGTACATAAAACTAATTTAGTATTAAAGAGAGAAAAATATAGTCACAAATATCTGATTTTAAGATTAAAATTAGTAACCCCCAATTTTATTTAAATAACAAGAGCTTTGTCTTATTCATCTTAGTTCATTTCATTCTTCCTACCACACACACAAACAGACTTGGCTCTCCCTGTGTGTAAATGACATTAAATACACATAATGAATCCTAAACAGAATAAATTGTTGACATGTTAAAGTAGTTGAAAGGGAAAGAAGCAACTAACATAAAGAGTAAAGGTGTAAAGGGTCCAGAGTAATAGGGAGACCAGGACAGACCAGACTTCAAAGACAAGGAAGATGAATAATGGGAAATGCATAGAGAAAGTCAAGGATAACTTGGCACATTGCAGTTCCTGTCACCATGCTCCTCATCAGTAGTTACATGTTACTTAACAATCTATCAATGCCTTCCATTTCCTATAGAATAAAGTCTGCATTACTTAGCCAGGTTATGTCAGGGTCT